GGTGTCTGTGCAACCCGGGACCTGAATGCGCTTTAAGCAAATTGAGAGTAGTTTTGGGCATGTTTTTTTGTGGAAGCATTTGGGTGACTATTGACTTCCAGTATTTATTAGCAACATTAGCCTAGAAGCTCCAGTACTAAACTAAAGAAGCTAAATTTGGACATCTCTTGGCTCATCGACTGCAGTTGGGGTAAATGGAAAATCATGTATATTTGATTTTTTGCTAAACTATTCCTTTAAAGAGAACATTTTTCCCATTTTCCCTCTATTTAATTTTCTGCCAAATAATTTCCGTAAAGCCTTGCTTTTGTATTCATTGACCAGAGGCAGTTTTCAGCATTACAGATTCTCTGATAAGTGCATGATTATCTGATAGGGCATTCAATAGCACATGCTTGCTCAGTGCCAAAACAAATGAACAGCTGTGTGTTTGTGCATGCATGTCAGAGAAAGAGAGGAAGATAATAGAGCACATTCATGCTCAAAAGTTGTCTATCATAAATATCCCGTCCGTGTTAATGAATGAATTATCTGTGTTTGTTTTCTCTGCTGGCATGTAGCGTTGAGCCAAGATCCACAATTCATGTCAGAAAAGATTCAGTGGGAATGATTTGTGGCAGTTCGTGAGGTAAAGCATCAAGCTTATTGTGCTCAGCATTGCTGGTCATAAATCAGCTACAGTGTTGGCCACATTCTGACTAAGCTTTCACTGTATGTTTAGACACCCCTGTATAGACACCCCTTCTTATGCATGCAGCTCATTTAATCTTCACAGAAAAGCATTGGCAATAGAATGGAATGCTCTGGAGCAGCCACACATGAGCCTAAGGTCACCATGCTCAATGTCAAGCGTCAGTTAGAGAGGTATAAAGCCCCCAGCATTGGGCTGTGGAGCAACTTCTCGGGAGTGTTGGAGCCCCATTCAGTACCTTTGGGATGAGTTGGAGTGATCTAATCATCCAACATCAGTACCTGATCACACTTGTGGCTGAATGCAATAAATCCTCACCGTAATGTTCCAGCATCTTTTGTAAAGCCTTGCCAGAAGAGTAGAGGATGTTACTGCAGCTCCATATTAATACCCTTCAGAAGAAACGGTGAATGGGCAGATGTTCACAAATGTCCGGTGATCATCATCTCACTGTCCATCTACAACTCTACAGAGTTCCTGTCAGATACCAAGAACACTTACAGCATAAGGTCCAATCAGATATCCCGTTTAAAGCCAGGAAGAGAGAACGTAGCCTAGAGGGTCCAAACCATTTCTACCCTCCTTTATTATGGATAACGTCCACTAATTGGCTAATAAACCGGATGGAGACCTACCAGAAAAATAACCACTTATTTCGACAGAGCAGCCTATTGTGATTTTACGAAGACCTACGTACTGACATAAAGATCATGTAAGGTTGGGTAAGAAGCCAGTGGGTTCTTAGGGTCAGGGGTGCCCAAACTTGGTCCTGGGGATCTACGTCCCTGGAGATTTCAGATCTGTCTAATATTTGGATGCCCCTGAAGACCTTCATTACCTGGATCATCCTGGTCTTTTAACTGTGAAGGAGAGAGCTTGTGATTATTGAGTTGCAGAAGCTCTTGTGTTGACCATATTATTTGCCTGTGTTGGCCTGTTATGCAACGTGTCGGCTGCATTCTCTAGTCATCCTCAATCCAGGTCCTGCAGGCCCTGCAGGCCTTGCACGTTTTAGCGTTTACTCTAGTCCTGCAAGCCAGACTTCTGCTTATTGCCAGAGTCTGGTGCTCTTCCTTCCTTAACAAGGCCAAGAATTGCCTTTGACAGGAAAGGGCTGTTTTGCTAATGCAAAATAATCAACTCTAGCTGTAGCAAAATGGGTTACGACAAATTGGTATGCATGTCAGCAAATGCAAGGGTATTGCACTTAAAAGCTGTAAATGCTTCAAAAGTCTCTTGAATAACTTTTATAGATGCTAGAAGGTGAACTTTACAAACTTTTTTCAGCCCTGCAACAATATCTCATTCGGAACGGCTCAGTCACAGAGCGCAGAGCAGGCAACTACTTGCAATTTGTTTCCTGTTGGTAAAACTCATTGCACGGAAGTGTTTACAGGGCACATGGAACTGTCTAAGTCCCGATAATTGTGGCCAGCTTAATGTACTAAAGATCTAAGATGCTCTTAGTTCTGAGGCTGAGACAACCGACCGTCTGAAATGGCGCTGCAGTCCACAATTGCACATGCAGATGAGGCCCTAGGACACGTGTCAGGCTCCAGTTCATGTGGGCCAAAACACTGCACACTGCCTCATTAAACACATCTGATTCAGCTCATCAGCTAATTAGCAAGGCCTTCATAAACTGAATTCAGAGTGTTAGATGAGGGTAAATGCTAATCTCCGCAGAACTTTGACCCAGTAGATCCCCTGTTTGACATGCCTGTCTAGGATGTCTTGTTCCCCACGAATGCCGTCTATGCCCCCTTCGGCAAGGACTGCATCAGTGCAAACTCTGTAATAGCCTATTACCCAAAATTCCTTGAGATATAGGCAAGGACAAACCAGAAGCAATGGTTTAGTTAACAACTGTCTGGCCAACATGGCACAGGGGAAGATACTAAGAAATGCATTTGCTGATTAATTGAACTTGCCATTTAAATGCATTATAATCTTAATTGTGCCCCTGTGGATAAACAAATTAGCCAATTTAAAAAACATGTACAACCAATTTACCAGGTGCTGCACATTTGATGAGTCCGTCTTAAACAAAGCACCCTCAAGGACTCTTGGCCTATAAGGTTTGCACGTTGTTGACATCACCAAAGCATGGACCACAGGGCTAAGGGCAGCATTTGGGACTGATGCAACGAATGAACTAATAAACAAGCCCTTCTTGAGGTGATCTAGAATGGAAAAACACTCCAACATCCAGGGCAGCTGTACCCAGGAGCAAGATTGTAAACCGCTGAGCAATGTGGTAGGTTTTCTAATAAAGTGACCAGTGAGTGTAAGATCCTCTTAGCTACTGTAGAATGTTTCCTTGCAAATTTGCTGTTGGGATATCATAAATTAACAAAACCTTTCGCTCACGTTTACAACTTATTGCTGTTATTTTACAAGATGACGGGTGTTATTCTGTAGTTTCACTATGATTTCCCATAGATTTCATTAAAAAAAGAGAACTCATGTAGAATTTACAACACTAACTGTGAAAACCTTTTTTTACTCCACTGACTGGAGTTAAATAGTTATGAGACAATTTTTTTTTTTCTCAACACGTGTTTGGCCTCATGTTCATTTGGTTCCCCTGGACGGTGATTTGCCACCGGGCAGGGAGCTGGGATTTTAGCCTGGCGGCTAGCTAGCATTGTCACTTTGATTCTCTGCCATGTTTCTCACTAACAGGACTTTAAAACTGGCTAGAGCTATAACAAAGTCTCCAGGCAGGAGCTGGTCGTAAAATAAAGGGCAGGAGCTGCTGATGTGTGTGAATGCCCCTCTAGAGAACCAGCTGCACAGAGCGATGGTGTGTGGGTGGGCAACATGACTGACCACCCTGGACACTCATAGGGGCCAGTGGGACTAATAATTTAGGTGTTCAACTCTCTATATCCTTTATCTCTTCAAATACATCCACCACGTTTCAAGATTCGTAGCTGCCAGGACATGTTTGTGTCTTCAGGTTTGCACTGGAGCTCTGAGGCAGTTGTGCCAAGTTCATGCCTGAACATAACACATGATGTAAATTGCCTCAAATAGACTTGCTTATGTGTCTTCTGACACTGTATGACATGCTGTTATCTGAAAAAATGGACAACATTAGGGTCAGATACTACTGTTCTAGCCATGCTCACCAAGCGATGGCCTTAAATCTACAGAATAGGAGACTCAGTGACCTCTAACTACTCTACGACCCGAATTATGAGCCTTGCTGTGGCATTACTGTAAACCATTTGCATGTAAACAAGAGGAAACGCTTTGTGGTCATGCATTGTGAGCAATAAATAACAGATTTTGCATTTCACACGAGTTTAATTTGGTTAAGTGCTTACTTCTCTCATCTTTATTTCCTTCTATTGTCTATTTATTGAACTGATCAATTTATTTGTTCTTTCTTTCATTATTCGTTTCATTCTTTGCTTTACTTTTCTGCTATATTCTACCCAAGAGAAAGTTCCACTTCCATGTGACATTAGCTGTCGTGCCCAGACTGTAACTTTCACTTGGAAAGCTAATAAAGTCACGGCGAGGCATTTTTAAAGTTTTCATAGGCCCCTTTTTTGTCTTTTTTTCTTTCCTGGCTGTGTGGTTTCTCCGAGAACGTCCCTGTGTTGAGTTTGGCAGTGCCTCGCTCACTCTCCGAGGCTGGAAAAGTGTGGTAATGTGTGTATTTCTGTTGACATTTCTAATCGGTCGGCAGTGACACAGGGAGTGAGGAAAAGAGGTTGAAGCTCAGTCGTGGTGCGACTCGCGGAGAATCTAAGCCCCTGCATTAACAGGCAGGCTGCTGCAGGAAACCTGGACTTTATCTATGTCCGCTAAGAAATCCATGCGATTATATGTGGTGTCTCAAAGGGCCTTGGTGTGGTTTTATTTGAAAAGCTAGTTACAGTGTGGGCACCATATGGACATTGAACTTTCTTTTGTAATGGTTATAATAGACAAACAAGCTAAAAGTAAAAATAAACCAGAAAGAAAGAATTAATTCATGGGTAACAATTGAATGAATAGAAAGACAGTGGAAAGCAGCCTGCTAAATGTGAGTGAGTGAGTTAACAAGTCAGGTCCATGAGGTTCTTCACATCTATGAGTGGCCAACCTGAGTGCTTCATGTGGCGATGACAGAAAAAATGACAGGATTCTTCTTTTTTATTAAAAAAGGGAAAATCTGTTTTTTATTGGAAAAAATACATAGGCAAATGGACGGATTGCGTCCAAAACAACAACAATGCAACTTCATCTTACAAACAACTCCATAAAAAAAATATATATATATATATATATATATATATATATATATATATATATATATATATATATACTGATTAATTGTCCTCTGTCTGGGGGAAGAAGGCAGAGAATGACTGTACAAAACATACTTGGAGACACGCTTCCCTAAAGACAATGGAAACCATAAAAAACAGAACAAAACAAAAAATCTGTTCCTGTTGCTTTCAGTGGGCTCGAACCCCGTCAACTGTGGTTCGTGAGCATAAACAGAGACCTTTTTTCTTCTTGCGTACATTTACTGAAAAAATACTTTCTCTCCATATACATATAAATATATTTATGCTGTGCAAATTGCAAGTGTAAGGTCCCACCAGGCCTAGCAGGGCTTACGAAGGAAGACGCTAAACGTGGCACAGGGCCTCTGAGGGTTTCTTTCATTCTTTCGGATGAATATAATGAGCAAATGAGTGGGCCGAGTGAGCAAGGACATGAATGCATGGATGAATGAATGGAAAATGTCTTCATACTATGTTGTTGTGACCTCGAACAACTGTTGTGGTCTCGCTTCGATTCAGCTGAGTACAAAATAAAGCAAAGAGGTTTAGTTATACATGAGTTTCAGTCTGTACGTGACTTACCAGAGACCTGTAAAGTTTACACAGTAGTCTCTGACAATAGAGAGAACCCATCTAGCCATTATTGCTGAAGAGCTGAATCAAAACCCAAACCCTTCTCACTCACTGGCAAGCCAAGAAACAAGTCACCATGAACGCTGATAAATAACATTACACAAAATACCAAAATACTTTCTGGGAGCCAGCTTCCCAATATTAAAGCATATTTTTTTATACTAATCTTAACTTCAATGTATCTGAAGTAAAGACTTCTCATTGTGGTTTCTTGTTCTAGTTTTCCATCTTTAAACTTGTACTTCTTAGTAATGATAAATAAGACAGCGGTTCGTTAATAATACATAACACAGATGCACTCATTAAAAGTCCCTGACTCTTCAATCCTGTACATTATAATACAAGGTTTGGACTTGAAGTTGCTGGAAGTTGAGGTATCACAGGACACCAAGCCGTTGGTGAAAAACAAAAACAGCATGTGACCTTCACCAGCCAATGAGAGTTGCTCCTCAGGCTTCTGCACTGACACCCAATTGCGTTTCTACCATTTGCCTGGGATTGGTGTGCCACACTCATACCACGCTACGTAAGTGATGTGGGAGTTGCCGCCTATCTGGCCGAAATGGACTGGCTCTTGCCTCACAGCTCTGTAAAAACCTGAAAAAAGGCAGAAAAAGTGGGTAAGTTATGGATCAATGGCTGTGACTTCCTTTCCAAAGGAGCTTTGGTTGTAAAAAGTGAATCTTTTTTGTTTGGTTGGAGTCAATGTTGACCCTCAGTTAGACAAATGTGTCAAGACAAATTTTGTATAGGGCTAAAACTTGTGTTCATAAAATGGGTTCTTGTTCACTTCATCCAATCACACTAGTTCATCAGTTATGCCATTTGACAGGCTGTTGCCTCCGTACCTGTCCTGGCTGGGAGCTGGTCTGCAGGCAGTTGCGTGCCAGTTCTTCCATCCAGGAAGGAGTCCACAAACTGACAGTGGTCCTCCCCGTGACCCGTCTGGTCCCCGATGTTGTAGAATTTACCTGAGCAAAGGTACATTGAGAAATGTTAACCACAATACTGAAGCTCCAGTTAGGAACAGCTTGGAAACAAATTAGCTCCAATCTTACATTAAGATAAAGCAACTTTCTTTATTTTAGTAGTTAACAGCAAGCTACTAACATAAAATCTTTCAATTTTGGTGAAATACTACAGTAAAATTGACCTGACAGTTTAAAATAAGCTTTAAATTAAGAGTAACTGGATGTCTTAAGCTTAGCTCAAGAGCAATGCATAGTATTAGTCACCTTTGATTTTTTACTGCTGTGCAAAGTTTAGTTTCAACCTTATTCCTGGAGATCTATTACCTTATATGATTAAGGCCCAATTAGCTGAATCAGGTAAACTAAATTAGGTATGGAACTATGCCATCATATGTAGTAGGTCTATGGGATTCTGAATCCCCTGAACCTAACCTCAAGTATTCTATGGCTTTTATACCATAGTTCTGCAAAATAAAGAACAAAGTAAAGCAAAAAAACCCTGAACATTCCTTGCATCAAAAGGGTAGTAGGCTTTTGCTATGACAGGTTCGGAACTTGATAGGCCTATTTGTACTCCTTTTCAGAATCTGACCAAATGGGCTATATTAATTGTGAGTAGAATGCTTTTCAGTCAATCAGATTGTATCCTCTGAATCGTTTTTGGAGTACTGACCATTGAGTGAGTCGCTCAGGTAGATCTTGTATCGGAGTGAGTTGCAGAGCTGAATGCCGACAAACTTGCGGTACCACGTCCTCTTCACGTACTGCTTGCCGTTGCACTCGGAGTACGAATCCGTCCTGAAAGGGAACTGTGTCCAGATAGCATCTTTACCTGAAACAACACAAGCAACTTGTTTAGTTTAGTCAATTTAGTTTAGCTCAACGTCACAAACTAGTTCCTTAGTGTAGTAAACATAGTAGTAAATAAGAATGCTCATGAGTTGATTTCATTCCCTGATGTGCCTACAGATCATCTGTTAACGTATGCCGTGCAAGAACAATCTCCAACAGTAATGTTTTCTTCAGCGCTGTCTGGACCCCAGGTCTTCGCTCTGTTTGTACACCTGTGGCGAAGGCCTGCTAGACCTGTTAGCAGAGTTGAGGGGCCATTCCATTAGTCTGTTTCCACTGGCTCATCACTCACTCGCCTTGCTCTCTATTGACTCATTGTACTCTCTGTAAGAATATCCATTACACTGTGAATTTGGGCTGTAACAGAGACCAGAAAGACAGGAGGTGAACGTCTTCCAGCTCTTTGAAACGATCCCTGCAAGGGCATTGTGTTATGCAGTTTTGAGCTTTTTGAATGAGTCTGAGGTTGACGACAGGGTTCAAAAGTGGATGGGGTTACTTGAAAAACATTAAAGTGTCACAAAGAATTCTTTGAAAGAAGAACCACTCTTGGTTACCCAAAAGAACCATATCTAAAAGAAGGATTTGTGAGTGTGAAGAACCTTTACTCTATATAACACAATATAAAGCTTCTGTACCAATACAGCCTCTTTCTGCAGGCCTCCTAGTGGCTTTTCCGCTGATAGAATGGAGATCTGTATATTGTTAAACAGTATAATCTGGTAACGTACTTTTCACCATAATTCTGTCATCAGATTAGCTAGGACACGGTGGGAATTCTGTGTGTGAATTGACTCTGTTTTGAGCTGCTAGCAAGAAAGTAGAGGTGAAAGGCGTGGGGTAAGAACCCCTGCTTTGAAAACCATTCAGACAATTCCGACAAAATCGACCATGCGGAGTCAAAAGGACAACTAGAGCTTTCTTTATATCAAAAAAAATCATGTACAGCTGCCACAGTAAAAAATTGGCTTGCTTGCTCACCTACAAACGTTCAGGTGTTGCAAATCATATACATTCCCATTGAAATATACTCTAGAGGGACCTCCTCCAAAATGTGGAAAATGTATTTAATGGCTGCTGTGGAAAAGAAATTTAGGGTTCTTCCTGGAACCATTACATTATGTGGAGGTTCTTTAAACTTTAGACACATTCTTCACACTCTCACACCTCATGTTCTCTAAAGAACCATTGAAAGGTTCTTCAGGAAAAATCGTTCTTCTATGATATCATGTAAAGAACCCCTTTAGGCTCCTTTAATTTTAGGAGTTTTGGCATGTCTAGATTGTTTAGAGTGAGTTTTTTCTCTTTGTAGAACGATCAGTTTCAATCGTAGTGTGTTCTAGAGCAAACTGGTCCTCAGGGATCCTCAGACCAAAACTCTAGAACAGTGTTTCCCCAGCCAGTCCAAATTTTTGCCCAACCAAATTTGCAAAAATGTGGACTGGCTGGGGAAACACTGTTCTAGAGTGTCTGTGTGTGGAACTGGTGTTTCTTTCTCAGCATGGAAGCTCTGTGTTCTAGCATGGAAATTTTTGGACTGTCTCAGAGGAGTTTCCGTTCTAAATGAGGGTCTCCTTGTTGGGGTCGGGGTTCTGTGGATCTCTGTTGCAGAGTGAGATCACTTTTAGGGTAGGGTCTCTGTGTGTGGAAGGGTGTGTCTATTTTAGCATGAGTCTCTAAGTTCTAGAATGGGATCTCTGATATGGGAGTTTTAGACTCTAGAAGTTTGTGTTCTCTTTCTGTTGCTGCAACATGGACATTAAGTCTGGCTGGGAATTGGATTTGGAAGGACGAATGTGTTTTTATTTGAGCAGAGCCTCCAAAGAATTTGGAATTTCTTTCCTTTTTCTGCTCTCTCAATTTTGAATCCGTGCACCCTGGACACTCACCTGAAACGTTCTCACTCACTCTGGGATCCGCTGCAGGGAGAAAGGGAGAAAGAAAGGAAGAAAAATAGATGAGACGTTCTCAATCACTGGTTCATTTGAAAGCAACCTGGTCGTTGAAGCTATCAAAATGATCTGTAGGCTATAGGAAAGTTACAAAGTTCCAACTCTGCACTGGCTAACCATGGGTGGGCAGTGTGCCTCGAGTATAAAACTACAATAAATTCCAACAAGCAGAAAAATAGCGTGTTTTTCCAAAAACGCTTTGAACGTCTCTGCTGAGGACAGATCCACTGGCATGGACGAGCCTTCTGGGGCATCCAGAGCTGATCCAGCTGCAAGACAACTGGAGGTACAAAATCCATCACTCTGATTCTCTTTCCACATCTCATCTCATGCTTTTTTGCTCACTCACTATATCTCCTTCCATCACTTGGCTCTTGATCTATCTCCCAATCTCTCACACTCTACCTCCATCTTTCTGTCATTCCATCCTGCTCTCTCCTTTCCTTCTTCATTCTAATGCTTCTCCCTCCACCTAATTCAGTTTATCCTTCACCACCCTTGCTCTTAAACTTGGGCCCAAAGCTAAAGTTCCCTCAATAAACTCAAGGATGACGTGAGTATTCATTTGCTGTGCATTTATGACATGTTGTTACTGGGTTTGTAAGACAAGGGGAACCTTGGCGGAGGTTCAGCTATTCCAGACTGCAAGGGGATCCGACCAACAACATACTGCACTCATTATATTAGTCACAAACATACTTCTTTCAGAGGTAGAGGCAGGTTCAAAAGCATGTCTGCCTTTGACAGGCACATTTGGACAGACAGATAGGGCTACACCTCACTTATTGGGGTAGCATTTTCTGACACTTTAAAAGCACAGACATTTGGAATTGTGCAGATTTGGACAGACAAGCACACAGAAAATGAAATGGCAGATGTCTAAAACAAAGGGAAATGTACTTTGACAAGCTGACTACTTATATAAACCTTTTTATACGTAATACACACTGGACTGCTATTGTAACGTGTTGCTCCACGAAAACGTCAGTAACTTCACCGACTTTGTTGGACGTACAACACTCGTATTAGTGTAATGGATTTGAAGGTGTGTTGTTGCGCATTTATTTTAACACACTTACCAGACTCCGTGTTGAAGGACACTGGTTCGCTGGGTGGTCCCTCCCCGAGCTCATTCTTTGGCTTAACCTTGAATTCGTAACTACAAGGTAAGACAGAAATATATTTATTTTGTTGGTTAGTGATAGATTAGTAAGGCGTGGAAAGTTGTGGCCATGTATTAGGATCTCATTCCTACGTCTTAATAAGTCGTGGCCGCGACTGATAGGGCTACACTTCATGCTTTGGGGTAGCATTTTCTGACATTTTTAAAAGTAATTCATTATCTTGTTCCCACGCCTTACTAAGTTGTGGCCACGCATGATTTTTATTTATACAGGATGTCACCAGTGGGGCTCGTATATAATAGATAAAATAGATTAATGGATATTTAGTTGAATGTAAGTAAGCATATAAAGTGGTGGATTTTAGTAGAAAGTATTTTCAAAATAGCACAAATTGAGTGATCCTAGTCTATAAAATAGTGTAATAGGTGCAAAATTACTTAATATAGCACAAAGTTGAATGTGATGTTATGGATGGATGGGCATTACAGTCCAATTTGATATTCATTTTTTTAACTTGTAAGGCACTGTATTATTCAAAATATTAGATAAATACCCCCCTCCAAAAAATCACATAGCACTCTTAAGGCTACAGGCTACCACTTGCCAGATGCATCAGTAGGACAAAATATTACATATTACTATTACTGTACTATAATAAATGAAGACCACAAAAATATATAATAGGTGACATCTGGCTTGAAATTTATGCCAAGGGGGCACTCAAAAGTCAAAGGTTTTTAAGATAAACAGACAGATGCTAATGTTTTCACCTTAGCTAACTTTGCTTAGCCTAGTCACATCATAGCTTATTTCACCTCATCCCGTTTAGCTTGAAAACAGAAAGTTAATATCAAACAAAACATTTATTCCATTAAATATGTAAAAATAGAGTTAAAAAAGAGCTGAAGTTTGATGTTTTTCTGTGATACCTCCTTGGTCCTATAGCTTTAGCGCCTGTATCACTGCTGTGTGGCGCTCCTCGCCTGGTGTGCGCTTGCCCTTAGCTGGCTGCAGTAGTCTTTGTGTGCTTTCTTCTTTGGACTACACAGATTAGAATCTCTGACACAGGTTTTTCACTACTCTCTGGTGGTGTAAACAGTTATGGCTCTCAAATATGAGAATGTATAAATTTAGAGAGAAGCTAATTGTCTAATAGTGCTAAAAATGCTAATTCAGTGATCAGTTTTACTCCCTAGTGCCTGTATCATCACCGTGCTCTTAGTCTCATCCCATGAGTTTTACGTCCCAGAGAACTGGAAGTCTACTCAGTCATTGCATTTAACATTCATTTAAAGTGATTCTCGTGTTTCTGCGTCTGCTAAGCTGCGACACTTGATACACGTATTCTATTGACTAGGAGCTTCGAGGCCTCTTTAATGGATCTTCCATGTGAAGTACTGACATCAGGAGGGCCCACGTGCGCCAGCTCCCAGTTCATATGGAGACCTGTTTTATGCTGCGAACGGGGCCAGATCACAGTCCCATTTTGGGCTCATTAAAAAGCTAGCGAGCGTGGCAGCTCTCTGACAGACAGCCCAAGGCCTGGCCGGCACACCGAGCCACTGCAGGTCCTAACGTCCTCCATTTTCAATGTTCTTGGCCGTTGATTAGAATGTTTTGAGTTTTAAAAAGAGCGTACTCAGCCTACATGCTCGGTTTATGTTCATGCATCTGTTTGCCAAGACCATACCTGCTCTCAGGCTTGAGGTTCTCCACTGCCGTGTGGGTTTGGTTGGTGGTCAGGATGGACACCTTTTCACCATCTGGGCCTTTCGTTGTGGAGATGACCTCGTACTCTGCCAGAAGAATGACAAGTCAAAACATTTATTATTATTCACATAATTGGTTGCTGTTGGAAAAAAGCCTTGTATAACTATAGGATACAGATTCCTGGCCTCCATAAGGTCATAGTGGTGCAGTAATAGTGTTTTTTCGTGGAGCTATTAGTTGAGTGATCACTTTTTACCACCTCCTATAGTTTTACCTGTGGTTTCATTGTCCGTTTTCTCCCAGTCGAGGATAATGAAGGAGGGACAACCTTCCACAGTCACCACAGTGAGGTTGGATGGAGCGGTGCGGGGTGGACCGGTGACATTTGTCTCCATGGCCTCCTCCTCAGGGAAATAGCTCAGAGATGTGGTAATTGAGCATGGCTCGTCCGGTTTCTTATCCGTCTTGTACACCACGTGAGGAGCTAGGAGAAAAATTTATATTCATGTAGTAACATCTCAACATCTAACAAATTAAAGGTAATTCAGGTCAAGGCTGTTCAATGGAATTCATGAAATGTGAGGACTACAGCAGTTAAAAGGATTAAACAAATAGATTTATTTGCAAATTCATCCAATTTTACACTTACCCCAGATGTAGGAAACTGTTTGGAGTCTAAATGTTGCTTCTTTAGTTTATAACTGGTGCTCATGGCTATTGTTGCTAACACTAGAACTCAATAGTCATCTAAATAGCCCAAATCGTTTCTGTAGAAATACCCTAAAACTTCTCTCAACTCGTTCAAACCACACCCAGGTCTTCATTCAGGTTGCACAGACCCACCACAGGGGTGTTTAGCATAGTATAGCAGCAACTTTACCACTATGGGTAGCCATTTCAGACAACACCAGGGCTGGTATTCATAGATCTGTATTTATTATGGTCACTGATTCTGGATCAGCACTCTTGCTGAGGTGGCTTGTGAATACAGATGTCTAAAGCAGTTGCCTGCAGTTTTGTTCTATTTTATAGCTCACAGTAAGTCATATTTTGACCTAAACTACCTAAATAGACAAGTAAACATGTCTGGACCAATCGACTACATCTGGGATAAGTGGAAAATTATGAAAATTTGACTTGCTGATGTTATATAAGCCTTTGTTACTGGTGCATTTCATAAGGCTGTCTGTCTCCTATCAGCTTTCATCCCTTATTACGAAAAAAGTCAGAAATGTTGCTTTACCAATGAAGCGTTCCTTGCCCATGGCGTCGACTTTGGATGCTGGAATGGAGCTGAAGACGGAGGAGTTCTCCCACGTTTCAAACCGTGTTGCTGTGGAACCGCAAAAACACAAGGAACGTCAGACATTAGAAGGGTTATAGGAGGTTTTCCTTTCGGAATCACAACTTTCATTATATAAACCTTTCCACTCTCACTGTTGTTAAAATCATTAATCCTAACATTGTACTGTTAATGCTATGGTTACAACACAATCCAGCAAAAGATTCTGGGCCTTTTTTCTCTTCTTGTCCTGCGAGTTTTACCGTTCAGTGGGGAAGACGTTGTTTTGGGTTTGGTCGGCTTTGCAGACACAGGGGGCACTTTTGGCTTCAGAATGGCCTGCCTCAGGTCAATCGTCTTATCTGTAACGAGGGACCAAACAGTGTGTTTGAACAGCACTGACTTCCAAAATTAAGGAATGTAATAGAGAATTTGCACTTTACTTTGCCACTGCATTTAAGGCCAGGCATGCCTTCCAACTCGAGGAACTGTATGACCATTTGAGATCAACATCCTTCAAACTTCACAGTAAACTAGAAAAATCCTGTAAAATCTTTTGGCTTAATCTACAGTAACTTGTGAGATGGTAAAACTGAGTTTGTGCCATTGTGCACATAGATTGTTCTATGACAGTGTATTATATTACTGGTGTCATACGAAAGCCTTGTATTTCCATTATTGTTTTTTTTTATTTATTACATAATCTGAAAACTCCAGTTACCCTTTGCATTGTGTTAAAATTTCACAGTGAACAGACCAATTGAAACAATGCAAATTGAATAATCTTATTCCAGTATCTTCCATTATTGTTATATGTTTTTTTCCTGCTCCTGTAAAATCAACACTTTGAAAATATAAGGTTTTGTTCTGACAAATGGAAAAAATCAAGCAAAGACTTTAATTTAATGTCTGTACCTACACAAAATTTCAAACCTGTGCTCTAAATAGTTTTTTTGGTTATGAATTTTAGAAATTTCAAAGTCTGAAATGGATCTTAAATTTTGGTTTTAACTGCTTACTGAATGACTGAACTGAGCTAAAAACACTATAAATAATAATTTACTTTAAATCAACTACTTTTATGTCAATAAATGTCCATGACCAGCTCATTTATTGGAGAATGTCTTTTTTTTTATGTCACTTTTTTCAGAAATATAATCTTTTTTTAAATCGTTTTCAGAAATTTAAGTTTTCTATAATATTCATTAATTGTGACTAAATGTATCAGTTAATTCTGTTCTGCATTGAATATTTGAAACTGCACTATGAATTCAAAATACCTTCACAACCAAAAAATCTATGTTTGACCCCATATTTTCTCAAAAGGCACCGATTCTATTACCATCCAACCTTTTCCTGAATGAAAACAGTTATGTCCGATTAACCTACAAAAAAAAATTCAGTTGTGCTATGACTCCTTTATGGTTTAACAACGTTTTATACATGACATATTTATCTAAGAAGCACAATATAAATTTATAAATAATATATATATATATATATATATATATATATATATAATGCTCTAGAATGTTCGTATCCTTTTTTGAGAAGTAATGTTGTTGTATTTCCTGGTGTTAGGGTATATATTAAGGTTAGAATATCTTGCAATTTGCATATTTTGTTCGTGTCAGATCAAACTTTCTGTGAGTACGTAAACTCAGTATTTAAGTTACAATGGCAAACTTTGAAAATTCATAACTAAAAAGTTCTTGGAGCACACGTTTGAAATTTTGCATGACTACATAAATTAAATAACTTGCTTGGAATAAGCCAAATATATTACAGTTTTTAAAGATATGTCCAGGTGGGCACTTTTTGGCTTAGATTGTGAAGGTTTAACACTACTTATTAAACATTTGTTAGGAATTTCATTTTAAGAATTTCATAACAACAAAACTACAATTCTGGATCCACTAAAATGTTCAGGCTTTCATTGGCAAGCAGTTTGGAGCAGCCATGCTGTTGTTTTGACAGTTCCTGATTATCTACTTTATTTAACAATCGAAGGTCACTGATTAGATATTGAACAACACAAAATGCTAAATGAATGTTAGCACTCACCCAGTCCAGTAGGTTTGCCCACAATGTTGGTCTTCTTATTAGGGGAGATAGGAGGCCGAGCGGGGGAGCCTGGAAACCAGATTGAGGAGGTGTTAACAGGGCTGGAGTAAACAAAGACCTTCATGCCAGCATGAGAAACACTTGGGCTGAACCCGACCAAAACAGTAGCACTAAATTCTTAATGCCTAAATCTAATTAATGCTGACAATGTGGCTGCTTACTGACAGTGTGACCAAACCTTTGGGATTTCAGAGTAGCAAGGAGGACTAATTGACTAAATCTCAAGGTTCTTCTGTGCGGTAATCAAACTAAACGAGAAGAAAAAAACAAAAAACAAAAAAAAACAAAACAAAAAAAAAAACAGTGGAACACTTGCACCACTTCTGGAACTCAAGAAACGGGTGTAAAGTGTGCCACCCATTTTTCATTTAGTCATACATTGAGTAATTTTAGCCAAACAATGACTTTTACTTGCTAAAAATCACCAATTCGACACATCCAAAGGTGTTTGTTACAGAGGGTGTAGTCCTGCAGCATTGTTGATTTTGTTTTTGTTGTTGTTGTTTGAAGGCAGCTAGCCAGCTGTAAATGTTCCTGATTGGGGTCATTGTGGTTTTCAGTGGAAACTGGTGTTTGATACAGCATCAGAAGTGAAAACATCTGTTTTCCAACAACACAAGGTAAATCTCTGACTGCTTACTGAAGTAATTATTGCTTCGTATTTTATATGGGGGAAACAAAACGACCCGAAAAGAACCTGAGGGGTCCACCTCTACCTCTGTCAGCAGGCTAGAAGGCTGTCACTGATTGGAAGGAGCTCAGCCCTGATTGGTCCAAGAGTTGTTTATGATACAAAATCCCAAACCTAATGAGCCTTGGAGCAAGTTAGGCATGCAACGTAAATTGCCATGGTGGTGAAGCCCCAGAAAAAATGGTGGTCCACCATCAAAAGAGAGAAAATCTAGGTTAGCTTAAAGTTAGCTGGCTCCTGCTTGCTGAGACTGGCCCCAGGAGAAGATATAAAGAGTTTGAAAGAAAAGCACTTTCCACAGAACTCTTTCACTCACTCTGCATATATAAAATCTAATCATAAGGCCACGATACAGGGTGTAAAAAAGCAAAAGTTCTTCTCAGAAAAATAAAAACACATGCTGCCAATTAGCCAGTGTTTGCTGGAGCCAAATTTTTAACAATTGAAGGAATCGGTCCAAGTCTTTGTAGACTAAAACATGGCATTAACTAATATGTGAAGGTTTGTGTTCTGAAATATCTTAACTCGTAATACGAAGCGGTGGGCGAAATGCCCTCAATCAACCCTCGGCTATACATGTTGGAGGACAATGCTGAAAAGCATTGCCAGCAGAAAGTCGAAAGGATAATTCTGTTTCGCTTTACTCAATCTATGGTGAATCTACTCTTATGCATTTATACAGTTTCAAATTCTCTGTTTACTCTGGATATAAACTTGGCCTACAAAATCGTGATGCTCAGCATCCATGATGTTGTCCAGAGGTCTTCAAGTCTGGACTTTGAGTCTAGTTTCTGGTCCTGGAAATCACTAGTAGGGATGGCACTAGATGGCCAATCAATTACACCAACAGTTCAGTTAACTACCAGTGATTACAAAATCCAGGACTGGATTCAAGATCTGGATTTGAAGACCTGTGATGTAGGGCATTGCTTGTCAAAACATGTAGGTCAGGTGTCCAATCTTATCTGAAAGACTTGTACTAATGCTGCGTTTAAACCAGGGGTGCACAACTCCGGTCCTGGAGGGCAGTTTGGAAGTTTCTCCACTCAAACACACCCACTAAACCTGGCAATTAACAGATAAGTGTAATCAGGTGTGTTGGAGCAGGTAAATCACCCAACTCTGCTGGACTCCAGGACCAGAGTTGTGCACCCCTGGTTTAAACGTTGGCAGTAGACAGACAATGGCAAACTTTATATTGCATTGTTTTTAACAGGGACACGAGGAAAAATTTCGTCAAGAGTTTAATTTTACCAACTTTTGCTGTAGTGTGCAGCACAGAAATAAACCAGATGGTGATTTTTTTGGGAGACTTAAACCCTTAATATCTTTTCTATTATTGAATGGCACTTCATAAGTTTGGACACCCCTCACATAGATCTTAATGTACTAAGGCTTTGCTGTAACTTTCAGGCGTAATCGGGCCTACGTGTTTTGTACGAAACTAATGCACGAGCCTAAACGTGCAACTTGCAATGAAAAATTCAGGATGCGCTTCACTCCCTCTTGCATATGCATTTAAGGGAGGAGCTGCAAACTATGGGAGAATGTGCTGGAAGAATATTTACCACGTTATTTCAGAAGACCAGATGTGCATGCGTTAGAAGATGCAATGTAAAATATGCCATATTGCAGCTGTTATATGTGCTCGCAGTCCATGTTTTTATTTCCCAAATTCTGTTTACATCACTGTAAAATGCTAGGGCCCTTTAATCCCTGTGCCTGAGGGGCAAGTAGGTGGTCCTATACGCAGTTTGCGCAGGCTTAGTCAATCTATTGTTAACTTCGGACGCATTGTGAGCACATATTGCGGCACATTTTCCACTGCGTCTGCAATCATATATACATCTGGCCCATGGTACTCTTAGTTTTCAGGCAAATAAAAAATGCTAGCAAATACAAGAAACATACTGGATATTGAAATTCAAACACTTCGGACTTAATGCAAAACTAGAAAAAAAATGACCCTGACATCATAAGTAAAACTTTGAGTTTCTTGCAAGCTTTCCGTTCTCTCAGCGCAGCCAAAAGCAAACCGATTAAGCTCTTGGATGCTACCCTGGAAACTGCATTAGAAGCATCAATTGAAAGGCTCGCCTCTTAACAGGTCATGGCGACTAACAAAAATAAGCTGCGATGAGAATTAGAAAAATAAATACATAAATAAATATAAATAAAAAACTAAGTGCAAAGCCAGGTGCAAAACAAGCCAAAACGCTCATCTTCTAAAATAAAGCTGAAGACCAGCAGACGCCGTGCTTCCACATGTTGGGGAAAGTACTTTCCAAAGACTCGGCTGGGGTCTGTGGCCGAGCTGGCCGACAATTTTGGATTGGTCCAGAAGCGGGTGGGGCTCATGCAGCCTGCGGCTAAACGCTTTCGGGGCGCAAGTCAAGAGGGGCAGCCAGGGTGGATTGCAAACAAATCTGCCCATGCCTTTACCATAGAATTGCTCCACAACAGGAGCTCGTGAGCGTCCGGTGTCACTGTGAGCCACTGGAGATACGTCCTCAGACAGGGAGTTATTAGCTGCGGGAAAAGGAGGGCGATTAAAACCAATGTCTCCTGCTCCAGTAGGCTCTTCATGGAGGCAAGGCACAACAAGTTCACACTAATACTTAAGTTGTTTCTTTTTCACGTAGTGCTCTTAGTTTAAAACAGAAGTGCTTGTTAAGATCATAGTTAACATCATGTGAAATGCTGGGTTCTAGAGAAACATTCCGAGTCAGAATTGTACACAGTGGTGGTGATAGGAACCAGAAATGAGCCTGTAATTCATTGCGGAGGTATACATGGTTATCATTATTAACATTACGTATAAAAATTTAGAAGAGGAAGGTAGGTTCACTTGTGGTTTTGGGTAATAAATAAAATAGCTACATTGAAGTTGTAGACTTTGTGCTCCTATCATCTCCGCTGTAAAGAAATCCAAGGTGGTAACTTTCTCTACAAGTTCTCTCTAATCAAACCACACTGAGTGACTTTAAATTATGTAACAATTTAGAAAAATCTGTGGAATTCCTCGTTCGCTTTCAACTTCCCACCAAGTATTCCACTGTTTTGTAAAAAAAAAAGGGAAAAAAAAATGTATATTTTACATTTACGACATTTGGCAGACGCGTTTAGGGAGGTAAACATAGCAGGAGCCTTGCCCACAGACTTTTTTTGGTATAGCATGGTGATCATGCCTAGGTGGGGAATCGAACCCGAGTCTGCCAAAGGGGTAGCCACTACGCTGTGCCAACCACTTTTTGATTTGTGGTCACCTTTTATCTACAATTCAGAACGAAAAATACTTTCCTATACTTTGCTCATCATGAAATCCACTTACACAAAGAACGTCCTTGGTTTGGTACAAAAGACATCAAAATGATGGTGCTAAGTCTTGCCTTAATGCTAACTCTAACACAAATGCAAATCCAGTACTAGCAACAGAGTTCATTTTTAACGGTTTACTAAGTTCAATAGTTCAGTTTAACTGAACATTTAAGCGACTGTACAGTGTCGTAAGCGCCCAGCACCACCATTTTATACTCTTTTTGTATAGTTCTTATATGAAACAGGTAATGGATACGGAAAAGAGCAGGATGATGGGAGCCCTCACACCACATCGAAGCTCTTAAACACAACATGATGAGCATGCAGACACTCATGCACACAATAAACGCTCAACGCTAGCATGAAAAACCTTTCAGTTCACCCTCAAGGGACTCCCAAGCAAAACTGGTAGAGTAAACCCACATACATTTTGTAGCTACAGTTACGAAACAAGTTGTGAAGAAGCCAGTTGCTGTTTTTGTGAATTCTCAGAAGACTGCCACTCGTGGGAGTATGCTTACATCATGATAATGTCACATTGTGCTAGCGAGAGAGAATGCTTAGCCGTCATAAAAACTCAAGCCCGCAGCAGCGTTGTGCCTGCAGAAGCTTGCGAAAAACACCAACACTGAGTCAAGGACACACAAGAAAGACGACAGATGTGGCGAGCAGATGGGCTGGCTGATGGATGAATGGTTTGGATGGACAGAGATGGCGAACGAATGGGTAAAGACACCGACATGGGCTATGCGGCAGACAAGAGAAATGCAGGTTAATGGTGGCTGACAAACATGGCTTTTCGAGTCGGCTCTTTTTACCCATTCTGGTTCTGGACCACATGACTGGTTTGGGGTAAGAGAATCCTTTGTGATGCTCTCCGTTCACTGTTGAAGGGAAAAGAAGGGATGTTACGCAGAAAAGGGCACAACACGGCAGTGCACTGTTAGCATGAGAAGCCTACAGGGACGGAGCCTTTTAGGGAATTTTGGATAGGGCTTAAATAGTGTGTTATAGATGGCTGGTCAGCGGCCTTGGGGGAGAAAAGGATCAGCCCAGATGGCGGGAAGGCAGTTAGTCCGTGCCCGTCAGTATAAATCACACACACTTAGGCTAACTGTAAAGCTGTCAGGAAATCAGTGAGCGTGACGGCCAGTCTGCACACATACCACATGTGGCTTGGGGGGGGTCTGGCTTGGAGGCAGTGTTCTTCACTCCCAACCCTGGAGGGTCACATCACTGAACAATTTTAGTGTTTTCTCTCCTGTAGCACACCTGATTCAACTCATGGAAAGCTACCTACTGCAATTAGATAATTAGTTGGATCAGTTACGTAAGCTGAATCAGATGCATAAAGCCACGGTCACACCGGGCTGTCGCCTTTGCTGGAGTAGAGCAAAATTCAGTTCGGATGTGACGTGGTTGTGGAGGGAATGTATGGCTGGGTAAAAAGCTAACGTTAACTAGGCTTTTGTGCAGCTGTGGGAGCAACCTGACTTTATGTTGACTAAGGAGTGGTTAGTCTTTTCAGAAGAAACCACAGCTTGCACTCTCGTTTTCTATTGGCTCATACTTCTGAGGTCCACAAATCAATAACCACTACAAGTGTTCCATCAATTTCTATTATTCCTATTAAGTGAACTGGCTTTTTTGCCAGGCAAATTTCACTTGTGATTGGTGTGACCGTGGATATAGAGCAGGAAAATCTCCACTAATTTCTGTTTTGTGATCATACTGTGTTGTGACCTTCCATGGGATTCTTGCCAGGGAAGAATACGGACAAATCAGTAATTTTAAGCATGTCTGTAGCTGGATTAGTTTTACAAGGGAAGGTCCTTAATGTAACTCGTTTTGGAAGGGCTGGAAGGACTTAGCTTGGATGTACGTAGGCGCTACACTAACAAAACAACATGACACATAGCCATGTCTGTTAGCATGAGATAGGATCAACTCAATACCAGGTATTGAAAAGAAAAATGCCAAGACATCAAAGGAAAATAAAGAATGAATCTGACCTGATCCTGTAACAAATCTGTCCTGAAATTGCTCTTTCTAACTTTGTGGATGTGATGTTGTTAGCTGTGTAGCTCTTCCTGTGGAGTCATAGAATGATTGAGTAGTTTCAGCACGATAGTCTACTTTTAGATGTTATTCCTGATTGCTTCATTTATCGGTATCAACTAGTATTCAGTATCGGTATTTAAACAAAAATGGAATTGTGCCATCTATAATTGGAACAGTACTGCTATTACTGGGGGAGCTATAGGTTCTGCCAGTTACAGGTCATTCACTGCACAGTTATTACCGTCAGACTTTGAAGATTCATTCTGGATTAACATAAAGGATATTATTGATAATCACTAAATTACACTTCCCCAGGTAAAAATAATCCAGCTCCAAAAAGGCTAAAGTCTCAGAGACCTGCTAAGCAAACCTCTGCCTTCATCCAGGCTTTTGGGGTGCAGAAAAATGTAGTGCAACTGTATTTGATTTCAAAGGCCAAAGTTCTCTGATAGGACAAAAGGTGTCCTGTGGTAGGACCAGGAGTGAAAACCACTGCTTTAAAAGAGACTGGGAGCAATGCAATGCCAATCTGCACTGCTTCCTGGGGACTAGTCCATTTGGAGAACAAACAGCTGTGAGGAATGAGAAAAGCTTTGGTCCCAAAAGTGCAACTGGAAGGAGAGAGAAAGAATGGAGATGGAGGTAGGGAAGCCTTAAGAAGCATTAAAGGGGGTTAGAGTGGTTCTTTTACCCCCAAATCTGCTGGACGAGTCGTTGGCCCTGGGGAAAGAGGGAGGCCGCATGCCGTTAAAGAAGGGAGAGAAAGGGTTTCTGCCCACAGCCGTCTGGTTCCTGCCGTTCACTGCTACAATGGAATCGAAGGGTTTGGGTGGAACAGACAAGCTTGGGTGTCTCAGAAAGGTTTTACCTGGATAAAGAAAGACAACAGCACTTGTGGTTAGAGTGAGTGGACTGTGTGAGGGATATGAACTGTGTAATGTCATGTAAACAATGGCAGATGCCACATTAGCTTTTGGGCTCATATAAGTGGAACTGCTTGACTCACATTATACTGTATACTAAGCCCAACCCTAAACATAGCTCAGCAAATCAGAGAGCAATACAGTCAGTTGAGAGGCTGTTTTGAAGTTTTGAAGGTATCTACTTTACTGTTGGGCTTTCATTGTTAATGGTAGGTGAATTCTGCAGCTTGCCAACTGCTATGTTAGCTGCTAGATTAACTGCTTGGCTAAGCACTGCAAGTGCTGCTGGCAGTCGTGCCTGTTAGACTTTTATTACCCTGCAAGAAAAATCAGCAGACCAGCATGGCTGGTCAAAAGGAAAACAAACATATGTTGTTTTTGGATTCTGGTCAACTGGCATGGCCGTGCTGGGTGACAGCTAAACCAGCACTAGCCCAGCATAAACCAGCTTAAACCAGCTTTGGATACAACACTGTGCAGCACTATGCCCTCGCAAACATATAACTGTCTAGTCTTGCATGGCTAGACATGATCTTGTAATGAGAACACACATTCTGCAAGACAACTTGCAATTTTTTTGGTACTAGATTGCAGTAAAATACACCACTAACTAATGTTTGCCTCCTCTAAAACCTTCCTCCAAATTTCTCTTGTCCATGCTCTTTGAATGTCCAGAGTACAATTGAAAACAAATGCAAAACAAGCTAGCTAGCAAAATGCAATCATTAGCTAATAGAACTTTTTTCCCTTGCAAGAGGTAGAGTTTATTTTCTCTGCACAGGCCATCTACATGCTTAATCTGAGTTCTTGGGGGGACTTTTCAGCCATGCTAACTTACATTACATCTTTGGGACAGTCTTGTCTGTTGGATAATGTTGACGAGTGCACTAACGCCCCTTAATTTGAGCTCTGCCTTTAAAAAGTATTGGAAATTTCAGTTAAGTCTACGTTTAGCCCAAAATGTCTCACGGTTGTCCTCAGACGTTCTTGCCAAACAACTCTCTGGCATAATCATATTACTGTTTATGATTGCTGAATTTGCTAGGTTGCTACATTTCTAGTGTGGCTTCTGCTTAAGTGTTAATTGCTAGTATGTTCTTATGCTAATGCTACTCAGTAATGAGAACTTTAAGACATATAGACCAAGTATAGCTCATCATTCATCATGGCAGACATTACATACAGTGTTAAATATGAATAACAAGTGTTTCAGTGCCCTTTGTTGTGTAATTGTAGGTGTGGTATGATGCATCTGTGCAGTTCCTGTGGAGGTAAAACAGAGTGAGACTTCTTGAGGAAAGATCAGAATAAATGTGAGGCCAAATATTAGCCCTGGCAAGAAGTAGCGTACACCTCTCAGACAGACTCTGGGGTGGCCTCAGTCAGTCTGACAACACAAACCAACAAGCATACTGCTGCAGTGATGTCAGCTCTACTCCCATTGTTATTACTGGCCGTCTATCTGACTCAAACTGGAGACGGCTCTTCCTGCAGACACAGTGGACAGCGGCTAGGGTGGAGTGTTTTATCTATTTGTGGAAGGTCGAGTTACGCGATTACGGCATCCGACAGAGAAGCAGATTTTCTTTCTGCCCTTTTCTTACTCTGTCCTGCAAATGTCTTAATTTCATCCAAAACAACACCTGCTATAAATACTGTAAAGTAGAAATTGTTGGAAAGTGGGCAATCAGAGTAAGGTTTCGTTTGCTCCAGTTGGGAAAAGAGGAAACATATAGCAAACACCGTAAACATCGAAGGACACCCTGGAAACTCCTGTGATTTGATCATTAATTTTGAAAACAACCCAACACAAAGGTGAAAAAAACCTTAAAATCGTGGGAATTACCAGGAGAACTATGAGGCTTGTGAGTGGCAATAGGTGCCCTGGTCTGGGAGAGGCCGCGCTTCGGGTCACCGCCGGAGGGGGACTGAGTGGTAGTAGTGGTAGCGGTGGTAGTGGTGGTGTCACGAGGGGGTTGGGTAGACGGGAGATTGGGGAGGGCAGGAGAAATCCCACCCAGCTCAGAGGAGGCATTTCTAGCATGGCTGTCTGAATCTGTTTTGAGAGAAAAGTAGCAGAGCAGCTTTGACTATTGAGACCGTGGCTATCAACAGGCTCCCATTTCAAACAAGCAGCACATATGGATTAGTTTTTCACAGCCTCACTATCCCGCAGGGCCGCGGGGTAATGAGGGACATCTACACGTGAGTGACCGGCGTTCAAATTCCCTCCATCGACTCCAGATGGCACAGATTTTTGAAAGCCTGTCAAGCGGCAGTTAAAAATAAAAGCAACTTCCCCTTTATCTTTCTTTTTGCTTGCTTTAGCATTTGGCTCACCAGTCAGCCTGGTGCTTTTTTTTATTGTTTTAATTAGCACTTGGTCTCATAATCGGCTGGCTCGCAGAGCGAGAGACAGAGGAAGACAGGAAAGGAGGAGAGGACTCCAGAACACTGCCTTTCCCTGCTGGGACTGAAAAGAGTGAGTGACTGGTGTCTTTCGGCATGCTTCAGTTTCATGCAGACTTGAACCAAGGCCAAAGACTGAAATGCAGCGATGCTAAAAACAAATCCAATCTCTGTGGAACATGAAGAAAGGTGAAGAGCAGCTGAGTGATGAGGTGAGGTGGACAGACAAAAGGTGAACACTGACAAAGTGACTCAAAAGATGACAGAGATTGAGACATGGTTAACATTTGTTGGTAAGCCATGTTCAGTGTTTCCTAAAGTTACATACAGCTTTCTTCGGCGTCTAGCAACGTTATGCCAAAGGTTAAGGCTAAATCTCTCATACAGAATTTATGTTCATTAATTCATCATATATCTACATCTTCATATCCCCGGTAGCAAGAGGATAGCAGGCCACTGTTGGCCCACTCATGGAAAAGCTGGCGGCCCACTGCACTTTCAGCGCATTTCCAGGAGGCCCCGGTGCTTAAGCAGAGCATTAGACAAATTGCCAAAGTAATTTTCCACTCACAGTCCAATCTACTTATTTTTCCTTCATTTCCTTCTTTTGGAAATTACTTCAGTAAATAGTTTTAACAGCAATATCATAAATAAAGCCGATTATACAGCTGCAACAAATCTAGCACAGTGTCAGCAATATTTTCAACAAAATCATTTTATATTAGGCATAGGTTTTTTTCTTTCTCTCAGTTGTTTGTAATATTTGTCTCAGTTTAGTTTCCAAAATAAAATAAAAGACTATGTGTATTAAAATTCTGTTTGAGGAGAATAAAAACTAGTTTGACATTGTACGCAGGACAATAATCTTGGTGGTCTGAGGGTGGACCAGCAGTGGCCTATATGTTAATTAGCATATAATGAGGATGTAATCTGAATTAAGTTGAATCTCAGTAAATGTAAATAAATGTGAAGGTCTTTACAAAAGTATTCAACAACAGCAAGACCTACAGTATGAAAAGGTAACATTAGTAGTGCAATATGTTTTATATTCATTGTGAAAAATCTACAGATGAAGTCATACAGTGACAAAGAAAAATAAACAAGCTAGCTAGCTGGCTAGGTGGAGGTATAGGTGGATAGATGGATAAAGAGCTGACATGTAAAAGATGGGCTGAGAGCTTAGTTGATGTCAGGAAGTTGGTTAGAATGGTAATTAGAGAGTGAAGGTCAAGATGGTGGTCAGAAAGTGAAGGCAGTGAAGTGGTCAGTGGACAGTTCTAATGCGTATGGGGCTGACGATACCATGCACCAACCATAGGCTTTCCTGTGCATGGCAACCGGAAAAACTTACACTCTAAATTCCGATTCTGCTGATCAGGAATCCTCCTCTCCACGGAATCAGGACTTTCTAACTCGTAACTGGTGCGCAACATGCCAGCATGCAACCAATTGTAATGAAGCTGAGGATCTCAGTCTTCCCCCCACCCCATCCCACCCGCCCCACAGCAGCAATACTAGAGTGAAGCATCTGCACGCAAAGCTGAGTGACTGGAAAATTAAAAAAAAAGACACTTGGTGTTACCCAAGGGGCGCTGAGGCCATTTTGGCTCTTTGGATGAGGGGGTGAGTGCAGTTTCCTGCTGGACCGGGGGAGGCGCTGTGGGAAATAATGTAATGTTGCATAAGCAGGAAAGGAGAAAAAGAATCTCAAATGGCTCTCTGCTCCATGCATAGTGCACAACATAGGTCCTAAAATAATGGCTTCTGCACCCAAACAATGCATAATGATTGTTATTCATCAAACTCGCATGTGATCAAATCTGATTATAAAATGAGTGCATGCAAAATTCACTGACAGTAGTTTTATGCATCAATTTCATCTTTGGGGTATCAGTATGATCAAACCCAGGCCAGAGTGTGTGTACATTTAAGGCATTATAGTTTGACAACTTAAAAAATGCTTAATTTGCAGTTAATTAACCAAAACTATTACCAATATCATCTAGAATACCAACAATAAGAATACAAACAATGCTAATAATTGGGCTCATGGCAATCTGGTAAAAAAGTAGATGTACTTATTTTACATGCACATTGATATAAACATATGCTGCAACTATTCCATGTTCCATTTAAAGACATATTACACTGTGCTTTTGCTTTATACTACTGACTTCGCCCACAAAATAAACAATGCAAAACAGAGCTGTGTCATACACTGCAAAAGCGTTTAAACATTATATTTTTTACTGTACAATCACCTCATTCTACCCTCTTAAAAACACTAAAATATTTATTTTACATCTTATTCTTTTTAATTAATTTTAACACTATAAAATGCGGTCAGTAGGGGGAGCTGTCTACTGACTGCTCCACTTCAGACCACACCAGTGACTCATGCAGTCTTTTTATTGCCTCCTTACTGAAACATCTGAATAAATTATGGCGTGCTTCATGTAAATGATATGTAAATTAGGTACTGGTAGGTTGGCACTTGATTTCACACACTGAAGCTGATTCATCATTTGTGCTCAGACTGCCACTCGTTTCAGCGTTGTACCAAAGTTTCACTCATTAGATGCAAGGCAGTTCATAGTTCATTAAAAGTAGTCAAATCTGCGCTATTTTTTGTGTAGCTTCGCTAAAAAAGAGCCACTTTCCTATCGGACTGTGCACTATTTGGGTGAAGAAGCACTATATAGGGAATAAGGAGCCATTTAAGGTGCCCTTGAAGGTTCTTGAAAGTTTGAACAGAAATACTCTGTGCTCCATGTGCCTCTATAGATGTGTAAATAGTCAAGTGTCAAAGCTGGAAGTGCTGTAATAAAGTGCCAGTTAAAGAAATTACCAAAAGAAGTTCTTGGAGCTCCAGGAAAGGCTGGGTTTGTGTGCAGAGAATGGAGGTCCGTGGACTGCTTGGACACGTTGAGCAGAGCTAATGGTGAGGGAAGGAAGGTGAGGGACAGCAAGAGTACACTTTCAAACAGGCAGAAAAACAGTGTAGATGTGTCATTTGTCCCGCAAGCACACAAGCACACAAGCACAAATACACATGGAAAACAAACAGATGTTAATGGCCAAACACATTTCTCCTTTGGCCTTGCTCTTTTGGGGGAACAAAAAGTTAAGTAACTTACCATGCCGTGGGTTAAAGAGGGCGCGATGTCCGGACAGGATCGGGTTCTGAAAGAACAAAAGGACACCTGTTTTTTTGCCCCCTGTTCTCCGACAACATACAAATTCAGCAATGTGATAGAAAGCAGCAGTGTTCCTTTGGTCTATGTTTCCTTTGTGGTGTTGTAATGTGACTAAGAATGCGATTCTTTTCTTAATTTACCGTGAAAGTCCCTTTGGAACAGTTTCACAAATACTGTCCAGTGCGCACATTTGCACAGCTGGAGTCCTAATTGAATTCCATGGCATGCGCAAGCGTGTGAAGAGGGATTTCGGGAGCTGTTCATGTTCAGATCCAGCTGTAGAGGGGAGTCTGGTTCTCTCTGACCCCCATTAATGTCTCCCAGAACAAGTCCAGCATGAGAGGTATCAAAGGCTGACATCACAGAAGGCTAAAAACTAGAGATGTTTCTGGGTCTCTGCATTGTGTGTCTAGAATCTTTAGTAGGGACTTTTAGTTTAGCCTCTTTATTAGCTGCAGGCATTGCACTGTTCAAAAGTAAACTCTGACTAAAAACCTGTCAGCTATAACATGGTTTAAAATAATGAGCCTTTCATTTTACTTTGGTCTCAAGTCCGAGTCAGTCAACATGCGACTCGCCATCTCTGCTTTGCGCTCGTTCCCATTCTCTCTTACTCATTTGGTGTCTTTCTGCCTGTTTATGCTGTGTTTCGACAGCATAAACCGCCCCTTGGGTAGGTGTGTGTGGGATGTTTCCAAATGTTTTTCTCTGGTATAATCATTAAGTTCAAGCACCCTCCTACAGATTCCCTGTTCGGCAGGTTTATGAGCAGCAGCAAGACGTACCACAGGCTTGGGGGTCCGGCTGTGCTTGTAAGGTTTCTGCATGCTTTTGTCTGAAAGACAAAGTGAGAGGAGATTAGTCCTATGTGGACAAACGCCAAAGGAGTAGCAAGTCAACATGTGAGTAACACTCAGGAGTTAAAGGTGGTCAAAATCATATTTGCAAATGCTCTCCCAACACCTGCTGTGTGACCACTGTTTTTACTATTCTTCACTGGAGGTTTTACTGCCAACATGCAAACAGATCATTTGTGGTTTGGAAAGTCCAAACAGGTTTTTTATGTTGGGTTTGGAAGACTTTCTCCGGTGGTAACAAAAATAAACCTCATAATACATTGCAAGTTATAGAGAAAATAAACATCTTTACGAACACTGCCCATCCAAAGTTTGAGAACATCAAGCTTTTAGGAATGTTTTTAATAAATGAACAACTGACATTGGATTAACAAACTGGATTTTTGCATGGTTTTCTTCTATATTTTAGTAGTGGCCAATTTCCCTCCAACTAGCTAGGTCTCCCCATCACACATGATGCAACTAAGCTAGGGGTTGAAAGCCAACACTTGCTTCCTCCGAGTCAGGTGAAGCTCGGTTGCATCTTTTCAAACTGCAGCTAATGAATCATTAGACAGTTCAACACACTTGGAGAATGCTAACTGCCAATTCTGTTTTGTCTGCTAACAGATGCCTGCTTTGGCTAGCATTGCACTGAGTGTTGGGGGGAGAGGAAGGGTCATCCTACACACCAAGAGGGAGCGAGGCCAATTATGCTCTCTTGGACTCCCAGCAACAGATGAGGGCCAATGCCTAAATGGTTGCACACTCCGGGAGCACCCAGTATGTGCTTTCAGCAATAGTTTGAACTGTTAACTGTTTTAAAAGTCTTTGCAGATACTTCAGAAGGCCCAAACTTCAGAATATATTGTCAAAGAAGGATTATCATTTCTATCATTGTAAGTATTATATTTTAAGAGTTACGTAATATTGTAAGAGTAAGACTTTTGGGATACTTGTGATACATACCTCCCATGTTGGTGTTGTGAATGATGGGTTTGCTCCACATGCCGCTGCGGTCATCTTTGTTGGGGCGGACTCCAAACTCATAGGCTGTGTTGGGCTTTAGGTTGTCAATGACTGTGTCGCTGGTGGGGCAGGTCTGATAGATCCACTTCCTGTTCCTTTCTCTGTAGCGGATTGTGTAGTGCCTAGAAAGGAAAGCATGAAAATGAATTTAGTTCTAAGGGTGAAATTTTTAAATCTCTCAATTCAACTATGCAGGGATCATTTTGCATAGACGTTCTACAGAACGTGTTTGGACTTCTCATACCAATGAGCCATTACATGCATATACCTTTTTTGTATCAATGAACCATTATAAGGATGATGGGAAATAAAACAAAAACCTCTGAGAAAGAGAATGACTGATGGTTAATAAGAGCACTGATCTAGGATCAAGTCCTGTCTGCCAGTGCAACTGTGTTGCTGTAAACTGTAAATGCTGACAGTCTCAGCTTCATTAGTACTCTTGGTGTGGTAAATATAGATCTCTGACTCCAGGTGTGAACAGTGGCACTGGTTTCTTTGCATCCAGAGACCCCTGGCCCCATTAGGTGCTGTTAAGTCTGGCCCAAGCACTGAGCACTGAGTCTCACTGTCAATGGATTGTGTTTCTCAGATTCACAAGACTTTATTTTCCTCGTGCCCATGTTCAGTAATGTGCAAAGTGGCAGCCAGGACACAGATGAACTAACATTAGGTTTTAATAAGAGCCAGGCCTGGTGCGAGACTTCACTTCTCCGCCGATCTGGGACGGGTCAGTGTTTCCAATAGCTTTTCCAACAGTTCTCCTTCTCCAGAGTGCAAAAGAAAAATACATATAGCAGTGTATGTGAGAAACAGAGAAGTTGAAAAGCGCATCAACAAGTCCCAGTTGCACTTACGTCGTTCCGAAAGACCATGACATGGACTCAAATACAAAACACACACACACCTGCTATGGCAGGAACCCATATCCCACAGTCTTTTTCCACCCAAAGGGAGAGACCTCCTCTTTATCGAGGAGTTATGCAACATAAATCATGAAATCCTGCCAGTGCAAGGAGAGTATGGACAAATTTATATACTACTTTTTTCCATAAGCAAAGCAAAACTGTCTGTCTTTGGTTTGCATCTCAAAGCTGCAGCCACAAGGTGCTGGAGACAGGGTGAGCAGGACAATTTGCTAGTATCTGTCAAGATTTGACTGAATGCTGGATTATCCCTAAATATGATGTAAGGGCATTCATCTCTTGCCTTTTGAGATCTGGGTCACTTGTGGAGAGTATGAATGGAAAACAAAGGAGAGTGAAATCCAGATGCTGGTGAGTGTGTATTTAACTCACCCATCCTCAAGGCAGTCATTCATGATGTTTCCCTCATAAGGGGTCTTCAGTAATGTTCCCCAAGACAGGAGCACTGAGGTGGGCGTAACCGAGCCGATCACCAGATGAAGAGGTTTGTCCAGGTTTACCTTGCCTGTGGGTGAATCATATCAGCTCAGGGTTCAAATGTCAAGAGGAAGATCATAGATCTATATGGTTCCCAAACCTGGTCCTGGAATGTCTCTGTCATAAACTTTTCCTGCCACACAAAAACGTGCAGGACAGGGGTGCACCAGGATCAGGATTGGGTTCCATGCAGTCAGGATCCATTTTAAAGAGCAAAATCTGATCCTAAATGATACATCTGTGCACATCAGTGTCATTGCAACACATTGCCACTTCAGAATTTGTGGCACTTTGGGATTGAGATCTGTGCTTTACCTGTGCATTGCTTCTTCACATCATTGGTTGGAATTGGCTGAACGGCAACCAGGTACTTGGGTTCAGCATCTACAAATGAGACACATTCAGACCGATTACTCAAACACAGAAAACAAGTTTAAATAAAATGAAGGGTGTCCAGTTCTTGACCTGGAGAGCTGGAGTCCAGTCGTTTAGTAATTTCATGGATTTAAAACTATTAAACCTACTAAACCTGGTACTCTACTGCTGAGTGGGATCAAGCGTGCTTGTGCAGGGTAATTACAAATCTGTGCAAACTCAAGGACACCCCCTCCCAAGATGTTCTTGGTTCTTGCTCTGTGGAAGGTCAGGTAGGCCACCAAAAAGTGGGCAGACCACAGAGCCCAAGCTAAAAACGGAACTGCTTGTGTGCTGACAAGGGCTTAGAACTCACGAACAACAAGCCATTCATTCATCAGAGAGCCTGGCTACAAAGCTAAGTGGATTATCTCTTCAGGAAAAGTGCAGCTTTCATTTTAGTTGTCGGGGACGGAAGGCTTAAAAGATTTGATATCTGATATGTGTGTGAAATGAAACACTCTTTTAAGCCATCTGAGCTGTCAAATCCATTTGTTGTTATGAGTTAAGAGGCTTCAAATAGCCAGGGAAAGAAATGTAAACTGCAGCACAGTGTGTATTTGGACATACAGATGTTCATTAGCCTGTAGAACAACAGATAAGTCTGGCAGGCCAGGCACAATGCCCACTGTTTGGCAAGAACCAGGCCAAATTCATTAAACAGGTTGATTAATGTATGGTTTTAAATTATTTATGTCTGAGTGACAATAAAACGAGGGAGACCAATACATTCTCTGTGTGTAATGGCCGATAATTAAAGGAAAATATACCACTCTGGCAAAGCAGCTGATCCGCCATGATAAAAATGTGTTCATAATTTTGATTTATGCGTAGATTTTGGATCAAAATCCACTTGTAGCGCAGCTGTACCACTGGTTAGCATGATATAAAGTTTGCCACTTTGCAGACAGCCATGCTGAAGTCAGCTATGGCCTATAAGGGTCTTGAATATCAAAGCACAAAGTTGTTCCAGTCATCTGCTGTGCACATGCATCTGATCCCAATCTCAGCCCAGGCAGTACATTTCTGGAGCGTTGACTGCTCAGCTTTTTCAGACAACTGATGTAAGTATATGATCCCGCTGTGTGTTTTTGCTTCAGCAAATGAGAGCTGTAGGGGGGCCAAGTGTTCCATACAAAAAAGGCTTTATTCACTAACTCCTTGGATTTGGGACCTGGCTAGTTATACAGTGCACTCCAGTACCTGCAAGACCTTGTCCACTGCGGGCCCTGGCGTGCCCCCACTGATCCCGACGTATACAGCTCAAGTGGAAAAACACCACGGGTGACCAAACAACGGAAGGAGATAACCACACTGAGGTAATGTTCTGGAATGGTGCCTGGTCACCCTAACTTGCCTTTGGGCTCCTGTGCTTGTCCTCACTCGTGCATTAAACACAGTGAAGCCTTTTTCAAAACACAGTACGCATTACCATTTGAGATTTGTCAAAATGTCTTGACCCTGGGAAGAAAAGCAGTTGCTGAGGCAACAGTTTACAGTTAACCAAATAAATCATGCACTGCACAACAAAGAAGCTAAGCATGCTGAACAAAAAAACACTTTATCATACTATACATCAACCAGGAATCATTCTTTATATGTCACCCTTTTGTTGGTGTGCCTAGAAATGCTAAATGAAATTCATGGAAACATTTGTTTTTGCTTTCTCATGCACAGGGCCTGAGGGCTTTAAGAACATGTTGAGGTACAGCCAGTGCCCTCTCTGAAAACAAAAGTAGAAAACCATCTTTCACAAATCAAAACCCAACATTGACCTCAGGGTAGTGGACCTCTGCCCTACAGCTGACCCTGCACAGCTGGGAGATCAGGGCTAGACCGCAGATAACAGAGACGGATGGACAAGGGGAAACAGTTCAACAGATGAAAATAAACTTGGTGAGCAACGCTCAGGGTGCTGTGTGACCTCCTGACCTTCTCAAAGTGGATCTGTCTAATTTAAGGAACAAAGTGAGGTTGGTCGTGTGTCTTACTGTCTAGCAAAGCATAACCAAGAACATTCCGTTGGGGTAGTGTTTCACTTTTGTTTGCAGTTTCAATCAACAGAACAGTTTACTCATGTTGGAAGCCCACAAGAGACTGTGATTTTGGTGTTTTTTGCAGAATGATATCAAAAGGCCTCGCTAATCTTGTTTTGTTGATTTGTTGGGTTTTCCATCCCTTTTGTTTTGGGGCATGAACACTAACAGATTTATTATGCAGCGGATGCCCATGTTGGTGGTGAGACTTACCAATCTCTGTCTCGTAGGGTACTCCATTCTCTGGCAGCTGGATGAACTGCTTGGAGAACATGCTAGAACCATAGCCCAGGATGTAGCCTTCAAGCTTGGTGTCAGGGTTTGGCTTAAGAAACTTCAGAACGATGGTGTCGCCGGTGGCATTGATCCGAACCTTCATGTTCTGTCTTCTCACTGTGGTGGAAAAACACAGTTGAACTTCCATTAATGACATTGATGTAAACAACATTCAAGTTCCTTTTGATATTCTACAGGAATTCCCATAGCACTGTAACGTAGAAATGATTAATTACATACTTAAGCAATAGAACACAAAAGGGATGTGTTATCGCGTAATAACATCACGGCTGTGATATGGTCGCCATAGATTAACACAGCCGTGATGTTATTCGCAATAACACATGACCTCGAGTGTTCTATTGCTTTTATACAACAGTTAAATAAATAAAATAAGAACTAAATAAATTGGGCTGTGAATGCGGCGTTTAATATGTTTTAATGTTAGCAATTCCTTCCGCCAAGCAGCGTGTTGCTACGTCAGAGTAACAAACTCCACTCACTCTGCTCAGTCTGCTGTAAGCCTCGCCTTTTGAAGTACAGACTGAGCCATAAAACAGCCGCAATATCAAGTTTAGCTCAGTTTTGTCAGTTTTTGCCAGATCAATATTAATGTTGTTTTGTTCCAGCCAGTCTGTAAAGCATCTTACAGCCCGTTTAGTTTGGCGAATGGTATTGGGTTCATTTCTGGCTGATTCCAGGTTGTTTAGCTGTTCTTCTGTCTCAGCTGCCGACTGAAAAGCTGCTCAGTGTTGATGACAGTTTGGGAATTTAGTGTAGTCTCATCTTCAGAGTCCAAATCGGCTGTCGGTCAAATGTGATCTTAAAAGTGTCCATTTTCTGTTTGTGGCAAAGTAAGAAGTAAAAACATCCAAATGGCTTGAGCGTCTCCTACAGCTGTCAAAGTCGTTGCTTAGCGATGGTGTCTCAGCGGAGTGATACAGTGTTTGTGAAAAAATCTTGATGTTATGGTGAAATAACAGCACGTTTAGAATGCTTCTCAACCAATGAGCTTGCATGGCCGGAACTAACTTGTATAAATGAATTTAGAGAATTGTGATCATATGTTCATTTCCCTTCTGCAGGATTTGTGGGCTTTTCTGATTTATGGGATTCAGGAAGATGCTGAGAGGGGACCCCTTTTATGAAACCTAGATCTCATGTCATGCAAATTGGGAGTAAATCAAGGACATTGGGTCTCATTTACCAACCGATCTTAAGAAGAAATTTCCTCTTAAAGCCCACTTACGTAAGATTCTGACATTCACCAATGTTTTCTTTTTAGGATTTATTCTTAGGTATGCACGCTCAAGAGCACGATTTAAGAACACATCGTGAATCTGACATAGACTTTTTCTTAGGACCTTTCTCAGGAACAAATTTAAAAAAAAAAATGGAATGAGTGAGGCCCTTCGTGTCTTTATATGTAGCAAGACTGTAAGGCTCATTATAAGTTGTTTGGAGACATTCTGAATTTGTCTGGCCCTCAATATCTGGCATGGCTTCATTTATTTATTTTTTGCTCATATAAGATATGATTTCTGTCTCGTCCTAATGAATAAAACTCCAATGACAGGAGCAGGCCAGCAGTTTCACTCTGAGGCTTTTGCGATGTAGGGGCCCATTTCTTCTCTTAGTAGTGTAATGAGGGCTAAATGTCAGCATGGAGAATATCTGGGTTCAGTCTTAGATCCTTTTCCTAAATCCCGTAAGCCAGACAACCAAGGGGAGTTTTTCCGTTTCCACCAGGCTTCCCCATCAATCAGAAGCTGGCTGATTTGAGTGGGTTAAATAGCCCAAAAAATATCCTCTTTAAGCTGTTTGAATGTGGCTCAGCTTTGGCGTTGGGGAAGCAAGGATTCTTAACGGATCATTACAAGCTTAGGAGCTCTGGATCATCAGCCACATCAATCAAACTCACCCAGAGAAGTTTCGGCCATTTGCACAAAGCACTCATTAAGTGCATTGAATGGCATTAATTAAGATCAAAACCTTGCAATCGGCCGATGATGAGCTACCCTATGGAACATTCATTAAAAAGCTTGTCTTGCTGCTCTTGCTTTAATCATTCAGATATGTTACATGTGATGATAAGGAAGCCCAGCCACTGGGCTGGGTGGCCAAATGGTACATTAGCTACTGGTATAGCTCAGGTCCTGTTACATAATAAAATGCTTTCTGGATGAGCTCCAGAATTCCTCAGTGTACCACATTTGTAACCTTTAAATAAACTCAATGAAGATGAATAACCTTAGAAGCACCTTTATGCAATTCATCTCCATTGGGCATAGGTTTATAATGGTCTTTGGACATATTGGACATGTAATAGGCCTTCTTCTTAGCTGAAAGTATGGCAGTAATTCAGGAGTAATCCATTTAAGAACACATAATTCACATAATGTTTCATTTTGGCAGCTCAAAAGTGTGCAAAAGTGAGGAATACATGAAAGTGAGTGATGTGGAGGAACCTATGAACCTATGACGTAAAGTCGACTCTGCTTACCTGACACCAGCTTGTTAATGCCAAACCTTCCACATTAGCAGAAAATATGCTTTCCGTTTCGTGAGGTTTTACAGTTTTAAGACCTAACAAGTGCAGTAAAAGTTCCACGGGGCTTGAGGAGTGGCCAGAGGGGACCGCACAACCCTTTCACTTCTGGGATAAGAGGGAAAACCTGGCGAAAGTACTTTTGTAGACAATATTCAGGATCTGCTTATGCTGCTATGCAAACATATACTTTTAAGCTTCCAAGTACTTCTGTGAGAATTTATAAGTTTTTACAGCTAATGGTGTGAATTTCCATGATATTTATCAGTGGTTTATAAAAAATGTTCTCGTCCTTTCGAAAGTAATCAGGCCCCTTTCCAAACCAACAGGCATAAATCAGTTAACACACCTGTATTTTGAAATGAGACCATTGTAATTTTATAAAAGAATCTCTTGAGATTGCAAAAACAGCTGACAGACTGAGAATTCTTAGCTGTTGAGGGTTTCACGTGCTGAGAGGAACCTGCCAATCCCCTCTGGCAAAGTCAGCACAAACGTGCAGATGACAGCTTGTTTCTTCTTCCCAACAATTAGCATTATTAATGGCCTCGTAGAAGGAGGCCTGGAGGAACGTTCATGTTGTTCTTGGCTTGTACTGTCAGCTGGATCTTGTGCATCCTTTATCCTTTAGAAGTTTAGAATCAGTGGAATAGCTAGCATGGCCTACCTGTGCCATGGGCCCATTTATGATCATCCCCCTGCCCCTCAGTATTTATCTGGATTTCCTATTGTTGTTTTGCTACACTATTTAGATGCAGATACACAATGAAGTATTTAATTACAGAAGTTAGTCATGTAATGTATTACATTAGATCAGATTAAAATCATATTGAACATATTTCACTAACGATTTAGAACACAAATGTGGCATAAATTGAAAGTTTTGAACCCACACTTTCAACAGAATGTATCCATTTAATTCAATGCACTTCCATAGGGACTAGAATAGGTAGGGGAAGTGGTCACGCAGGCATATCTCTGACTTTGACCTCTACTTGGGAGGGATCTTGCAAGCTCTTTTCTTGGCACTCAAGTCTTTTTTCACCGTTGAATGCTTTCCAGACCAGGAGGATCAGCGGCAACTCCTATGCTAGAAGCCGGACACTCTTAGAACCAGGCCCAGGCACGAGCTCTGTCCAGTGTTAACTGAGCTGACAATCGTCTGGCAGCTGTTCCACTTGAACAAATGTATAAACATGCTGAGTTTTTGTATAAACATGTTTGATAAGTATTCCCGTTGCCTGGACTGAATCCAATGGTATACGGATTGCCTGCCAACTGTGCATCCAGAATCTGGGACACGGTTGGCTGTTTCATTGCAACTGACTTTAACAGAAACAAAGGTGCTATGGGTGCTATGCATTACAAATTGGTTTGCGCCAGTTCCGTTTTGTCAGCAAAGAGCCAACAGCATTGCGCTGAGGGTAGACGGAGGACTGTGGCATCTTCAGGAATCGAACCCATGATCTTCTGATGCCAACAATCAAGTGGTTGCACAACTTGGGAGCCCTCATTTCAAAAAGTTTCTAAAATATCTGCAATGGGCACCATGTCCACGTCCTGACTTTAGATGCTTGAGTTTGGGAATGTCACAATGTTCCATGATCTCTCTTGGAGGATGGAAATGATTTAGGAAGTTCTGAGGCATTGGGGATCCAGAAGTGGGGTGCCCTTCAGGCACATTTACAGTAAAGTGTGTGAGCAGATTTATCGCACTGGTCCACTTCTGCATCCTTTTCCGGCACTGAGACAGACCATCCCCTTTTCTTACTTCCCCTCTCACTGCTTATCATAGCTTTTCTTGTTTTCTTCCTCTGGTTTACCTTCTTGTTCATGCACTAGCAGGAAAAATAAATCCTCTGTGATCAATGCATAGACCCTTGCCTTGTCTTCTCAACAAACACACACCACGACTGTTCTACCAGAACACCATGCTGTCACCTTTGACAGTACCTTAATCCCTATTTTTCCTTTGCTCTTTCATCTACTTTTCATGTCTTTTATTCATCCGTGGCGCTCAGATAAAGATACAATCAGCTGTTTTTCAAAGACTGTTTTCACTCTGGCACTCTGGACAGCGCTTCTTTCATCTCCTGTCCTCGAGTTAACAGTGCTGCAGCTCATGGTACAGTAAAACTCAGCGATTTTTAAGAGGTTTCAACACCTCAGCCAAGAAAGCAAGATTTTACCATCAAGAAGCTCAGATGGTTTTCACAGACTTGTTTATTTTCTTCTCATCACTTGAAACAGCCACAAACTGGGACTTGATGAATCTCACATAACAGAACTGTGTCTGTTTGCAGGCTTGTTGCAGGGTAGCATTAGGTCATACACCACAGGTCTTCAAATCTGGACCTGAATCCACTTTCCAGCTGGATTTTGTAATGAATGGAAGATGTGAAACTAGATAAACAATCAGTTACAACTGAAATGATTGGCCACCTAGTGACATACCTACCAGTGACGGAAAATCCAGGACCATGTACTAACGACTGTATTGACAAATAGCCGTAAACTGCCCAGTCTGTGATGGTCAGTCATGGTCCAGTTAACTACACAAAAGGTTTTGCTGAGTGCAACCTGGTACAGATCATCCGAGACAGGGGAATGGGCATTTTTTAGCAGCAGGGTCAAAGGTCACCCACTGATGCAGATAGAGAGCAGGAGAAACAGAGACAGAGGTGCTTTGGAGATCAAAGAGTATGTCACAGAGAGTCTCCAGAGACCATTACATGCTTAGATGGGCCTACACTTCTGGACTTCTGATTTTGGGAAACTAAAAAATAATACATGTCTGTAATTATGAGTTTATTTATATAATTATCATGCCTTTTGTATTCCAATTCTGCAGGTATTGTAGAAATACACTTATTTTATTAAGTTTTGTTTGGAAAATTTTGTGAGTTTAGATTGGTCTACATTAAGATCGTCGGTCTAGATCCCATGTGTCATACACAAAGTCCGTGGGCCTGATAAATTCTACAATCCCATCTGGCCTGCAAAGGTGTTTTAATTTTCTATTAATATTAGCCTGTTTTACAATGCCATGCACTACATTCCCCAGCATGCACTGCAAGTTAATGGACACTCCGTCTCTCGTAACCCAACAACAATCTATGAGACAACAGTTACACCTCAATTCTACACAATTCCACACCTGCCTTATCACCAGCTGCATTTCAACCAACTAAACACCAGCTCAGCAGCTCAGAAACTGAGCCCAAGTCTTAATGCAGCAAAGAAAGGATGCCAGGTGTCTAGTTTAAGGAGATAGGTAGGTTTAAAAGACTGAGCTCCTGGGGACATTTAAATATTGAATATTTTAAGTATTCATGTAATATTCTAAGGTCTACAACAAGTGCCTGTATTTTACTGTTGAGGTTATTGTGTATTTTGAATAAACAATGGTCGGTTTGAGTTATAGCACAACTTTAATTAAAAATGAAATAAAAACTATTTTTCTAGCCCACAGATTTGTTGAGATTTTCTAATATGGCCCTTTTACCTGCACCTGCCTACTTTGGGCTGTGGTCCTTTTCTGTACCAGCCTGTGTTTAGCCATTATAATCCACTCCACTGGTGCATGCAACCACCAAAACATGAAGGGACAGCCTCCAAACCTGCTGTACCTCCACAAACCCTGCCACAATTTTTTTTTTTAATCAATTTTGTGTAACAATACTTTGTCTCAATATTATCTTTTATAGGTATTGAAATTAATTTATTAGCTAACTACACCACAAAGCGTTTAAAAGTCAGCCAAAATTAACTTAAAGCAGATATAGGTAGATGTGAAATTTTACGACATGGTTTGAAAAGCCAAAACAATTTTCTTGGAAAATTATTTAATGAACGTTATATGGCTTATCTGTGCACCATGCAATAATTACTAATGTGTTTTCCTCTGCTGCATACTTGTCGCTTATTTGCTGCCCTCTTGTCTGCTTCCACAAGCAGCCTGTAATTGTCCAGGCTGCCCCACCCAAACTGCATAAACCTGCAAACTTTTAACTGTTTACCCGCTACGACTGCAGTGCCTTAAAATGAATCCCGCCTCAAATTGTTTTTACAGATCACATGGGGCACCTTGTATAGACCTTTGCTTCAAATGTCTGCGTTATGGCCAAAAAATGTTCATGAGCACCAGCATTAGCTTATCACTAACATATTATTAGAAATCCCATAGGGGCGCTAACAAAAAATGATCATTATGGTGTGTTTTTTTTCTAGCTTTTCAGCACTTGTATGCACACACACACCTGCACACAATTTTTGCAAAGCACACACGCACACACATCTGCATAAGAAAAACAGCAATCTTGGCCATCATCAGTCTATGATGTAATCTGGAACCATAACGCTTTATTGTTCTAAACCTGGCTCTCCGGCTCTCGTCCTCGAAATTAAATCTGTCATATTGCATAAGTTTGCAAAAAGACTTATGCGCTCTTTTGAAAGCTTTACAGATTTTTTACATTTTCCAGCATCTTTTGGCCTTTGCTTGGCCGAAGCTCCGCCTCTCTGCTGCTTTGCTTCTTGTTCAGCCCCAGTAGAACCAATCGGATCCCATCTACCAGAAACAAACCCAGACCACTTGTGCCAACACACATCACATCTGCCAGCTCTGCAGAATGTGCACATTCAATGCAGTTCCAGCCCTAACTGAATACATCTGCAGAAAATAGCCCACCACCAGCCTATATGTGCACATTTCCATGAATTAGAATCAGAATCAGGAGATCTACATGAACTGGGCATTTGCGCTGGACAAATATGCAACAATCCCAGACTCCAGATACGAGCACACAAGACACAGGCGCAAGTTCACCTGCAGGACCAGCACTGCATGACCGCAACTGTGCATTCACTGAAACCTTGAAGGAATAGTCTAAACAGATTTCGCCTCCGAATGTAGCTGACCAGCCAAGACATGTTTGGTGTGTGGAGTTGGCTTTTTCAGTTTTGCTCTGGAACTACAAGGCTAACATAGTTAACAAGCACTGCAAGCTAATATAGTAGCATTTTATTTGGATCGCATTGTTTGTAAATCATAACTTACATTTCACTACAGAATTCACCTTAACTTTCACTAAGCCGAAACTTGGACTTTACCTCAGCCCAAAACCTACACCTTAACCTGGTCCAAATCCTAATCTAAACCTACTACTGTTGAGAATGAACCGAGTTTCTCCAGACAGTCGGTTCCCAATTTGAACATCTGTAGATAATCTACAGGGGGCTATCCAAACAAGGTGGAACCACTTACACCCCACCAATTGGCACTGCAAACTGCATGGCTAACTTTGCACACTTGCGTCAAACTGCACTGAGTCATTGAGTAATTGCATACATATTTTATTTATTGAGGGAAGCTTTATTGATAAACATTTGTCCATTATTACAGATGAAGTCGCGTGCAAAAGTTTGTGCACCCCTGGTCAAATGCCGTTTTGTTGAAAATAAGTTCCTCTACACACTTCTGCACATTTCAGTGTACATTTGTTACTGTTTATTTGCCGAATTTAACAAATAAAACATACAAAAGCGTGGCCTGTGCCTGTACACTTACGATATTTTTTCCCAATATGGTTAAGTCGCACATAAATAAAAAAGGTGCAGAAAAATGCAAATGAAGTGTGTTCCCTGCAGAGGACTTTTATTTTATTTTCACTTAGAAAATCAACAAAACATGTAAATGGACCGGGGGTGTTTACACATTTGCATAAGACTGCATGTATGTATATATTTGTGTATGGTATACAGTGTCAGAAACCACATAACCAAAGATAAATGAGTTTTTTGTAAGTATTCTTCAAACACACTTGTGAGTATTGCATTAGGACTTGCAGCTGCTTGCAGAACGACATGCTGACGGTCTGCATCCCCACAAGCTAAATACAAGTGCAAGTGCACTCAATTTCAGCATGAGTTTGAATGAACTGCTCCAAACCTGATTATTATTGACCCTATAAATGGCCTCCAAGCCTTTATTACTGACTTCTAGAACTTCAGAATATCACACTTTGCATTATTTCATGTTATCACTGAGCAATAAGCCTCAGGATGTAATAAGCCCAGGTGTGTGGATGCACTTGCCTCTGATTCTCTGTGCGGAGGAGAGGGAGAGCAGTAGTATCCCGGCCGCGAAGAGGAGGAGGAAGCAGGGGCGGAGGAGCGCAGAGACGGCCATGACGGATCCCTGGGTCTCGGGGTCTCTGGACGAGGGGTCGGATGGATGCTGCTGGACGACTACAGTGAAACCTGTTGCTGCTGCTGCTGCTGGAGGTGTAGAAGAGTTGCTCAGCTGCTGAATGACGGACCTCCAGAGCGTCCCCTTGTAATCTATACAGGACAGGGAGGGAGGGGAGTGGTGATGTCACACCACACACGAAGAGGCAAGCACACCCACACCCACATGCCCAGGGAGGAGGGTTCATGGCTTTGATTTGTGTTCTCTCTCTCTCTCTCTCTCTCTCTCTCTTTCTCCACTCCTCTCTCTCTCTCTCTCTCCCTCTCTTTTGCCTGAGTGGGTGTCTGTCTGTGTGTTTTTGTTTCAGAAAGTACAAGAAGCAGACAATTGGCCCAGAGAGTGATAGAGAGAGAGAGTGATAAAGAGAGTGGTGAAAGAAAGGAAAGAGAGAGAGAAAGAGAGAGAGAGGGGGGAGCAGAAAGAAAGAGAGGGGGAGGAAAAGAAAAAAAGAGAAAAAGGGGAGGGAGAGAGTGACAAAGAAAGAAACAAGAGATTGAGAGAGAGAGAAAAAAGTCTTTTTTTCTGCTCTTGCAAAAAACATTCAGTGCTAGTCATTTAGAGCCAGAAGCTCTTACGGTATCTATCAGCCTGGCACCCCTGTTACACGTCTTGTTATGAGCTGACTGTGCTGAAATCTGCAGCATTGGCGTCATGTTCCCAGCAAGGTCCAGGGAGACAGAGAGAAGGGGGGTGAGGGGGGTGTAGGAGGTTAAGATGAAGATAGGCAGTGGGGGTGTCCATGCATCTTCAAAAATAAGGGAATACATTACTGTTCAGATGTTTGGAATAAATGTTTTCAATAACATAAAACCGCTTTAATTACAAAAAATGTAGAAGATGATTCTAATATGCTAGTCTTGTTCAGATGGAAGGAAGCTGTAATGCCCTGTCAAGCCAGTAGCTGGTAACTGGCTGCTTATTACCATATTATTACAATAACTAGGGTGAATTACTAGTTATACTAAACCAATTAGTTCTAGATTTACTGTTCCACTTTTCTAAAATGAAGAGCACATCATGTACTAAGAAGATGACAACTTCTGGTGTGGGCTTGATCTGACAATGGGCTCTGCATGAACTGTTTGTAACAGTTTATTTGGAGTGGTCCTTTGTAGATGATTAATAAACTCTTAACAGATTATCAGTAACACATCAACAACATATCAGTGAAGTGGCAGTAGTGAAGCACTGACTAGTGAAGCACAGTGAATGCACTGAAGTAAATATCTTGTAGATGTTCTGTTGATACTTACATTAAGTAGATGTTGTTAGGTAGATGTAGATTGTTAATATGTTACATCCATTACGCAGAACCTAATCTTACCAACCTTACCCAAAACCTAACCCTCACACTGGCCCTAATGCTAACCTTAACCTCAACCCAAAGTCATCTTGTTGTTTGTTCTAATACTGCCCTCCTAACTCTGATTGGTTTTAATCACCATTTTGTTTGTTCCATCCCCCTCACTGTGATTTGTTTTACTCACCTTGTTCTATGACCTTCCCCTGTCTGCGATTGGTTCTAATCCCTGAATCGTTTGTTCGGAGAGCTTCACCTGTCTGTGATTGGTTCTAATCTCTGTGTTGTTTCTTCAGAGACCTCTCCCAACTGCAATAGGTTCTAATCCATGAGTCGTTTTTCAGAGACCTTCCCCTGACTGCGATGGGTTCTAATCCCTGAGTCACTTGTTCAGAGAGCTTTATCTGACTGCGATTGGTTCTAATCTCTGAGTCAGTTTTTCACTGACTGATACAGGTTCTAATCCCTGAGCCATTTGTTAAGAGACCTCCCCCTGACTGCGATTGGCTGTAATCCCTGAGTAACTTGTTAAAACCTCCCCTTGACTGCAACGGGTTCTAATCCCTGAGTCACTTGTTCAGAGATCTTTATCTGACTGCGATTGGTTCTAATCCCTGAGTCATTTGTTAAAAGACTTCCACCTGACTGTGATTGGTTCTGATCTCTGAATCCGTGTTTCAGGAACCTTCCCCTAACTGCTATAAATTCTAATCCCAGAGTCATTTTTTCAGAGACCCACCCTGACTGCGATAGGTTCTAACCCATGCGTTATTTGTCCAGAGACCTTTCCCTGACTGTAATTAGTCCTAATCAGCATCATATGTTACAAGACCCCTGATTATGATTGGTCCATATGCTATATTGTTGCCTGCATCACTGCACAGGGAATTGCAGACACTACCTTTTGCGTAAGTATACCTACAACAGTGTGTTCTGTGGTAGCTTTTTGCTGTTCGAAGTATTCTGCCAACTTTAATAAGAGTAGTTCAAGAACACTATAGTGACTCACTATATTGAAGTGTTACTGGAATTTTGTGAAATTTTTCAGTGTGACTACTTCATAATTGGCAGTGCAGATGATTGTGAAAGCTGTATAGCAGAGGCAGAGACCTCACCAAAAAAGTAGATTCATTTGGTTCTAATTTAGTTTTGTATATAGTAAAAACAGTACTAGTGATTCGACTTTCGAACGATAGTGTATTTGTCAAACACTCCTCACACGTGCCATGGCATGCGACGAGGATGACGGACAGGGGAGAGCGAGAGCAGCTTCAAGCGAGGGACTACCCATAGGAAGTGAATCATACAGGCCAACACTAATGCCAGAAATTATGCAATAGGAAAGCGGCGGGTGCGCAGGGTTCTGGCCAGGGTCATAAAACATGAACGCAAAACATTTTCAGAGAGGAAAGCAAGAAAACGACCAGGAGGAAAAAAAACGCCTCAAAGGAGTGCTTCTATCCCTGCATGCGCATGCTTAGGTGTCTCTCTCTCATGGATCAATGGGAAGGATGACTCCATGTCAGTCTGAGGCTTTGCTAAAGTGACAACGTATGAACAAGCAAGTTGGCAGACTTTCTTGGAACATGAAGTTCAGTCCGTTCAGCCTTCATCATCTACTAAACCACAAGCCGGTTATGCTACAATGCAGAACAGCACTCCAGATCTCAAAGATTAGTGAAGCTAGTAAAGTCTTAACGAGGTGCTCTGAAAGCACGGCAAAGTCAGAGAGATGTTCTGTGTCTCATATTAATACTTCCGCAGTGTACTAGCCACTTTTACTGCGCTGGCACTGTGCACACTTGATGCAGTAGAGCCACTTTTGTGTGGCAGACATGTTTGTTAATATGGAGGCTATGCAGGCACAATTCAGTGACGTGAGAAACCACATGGTAGTTTACCATTACCAGTTAATTTAAGATAATACTACCCTACAAAAATAGATAGAGATTGAAGTAGAATAAATAGTATACCAGGTAAAAGGCTTTACACACCGAACATGGTGCAAGTTGTGAAAAAGGGGAACGAAAGGATGGAAAGTTTAACCATCTCATTCAGAAACTTAAACTTTGAGTGCTTTGGCACATACAGTCATACGCAGACTGTTGTATACCCCCAGTCAAATTACATGTTTTTGTACTAGTGTAAAACTAGTACACATCCTCTATAGGAAACAAACTTTTGCATACAACTGTAGCTTAGATGTCTGTATATTGGGTTGCTTTTGAAACTAGCATACCACATGATGAAGTGGAAGACAAACTAATCCTTGTGGCATTGTCTGAACGTATAGGTTGCTAGGACAATTTGTCCCCTTGGTTGTCACCGTACCAGCCGCAGAGACATCAGTGATTGGTTGAGTGAATTCAAGCCAGGTTTGCAAAAATTAAACAGAAGGTGAATGAAATAATTCGTCACCTAAAAAAATCAAGATACATGTGTTCAGATGAATTTATTGACAACCAAATAATTTGCTTTTGCCGTGTAAAGGCCTTCAGAAAATTGTGCCTAGTGCCCAAACTGTGACACAGGGAGACAGAGGACTGTGCAGGGAACTCTGGATTTGCTTCCGTAACACAACACATGCTGGCCTTTGGCCTTTTCTTGGAGCCTGCATTGAATTCCACTTAGTGCCTAACGATGACCTCTAGGTCAAACCAGTGGCTGCTCAAGTTCTCGGCTGACCTTTGAATATCTTCATCTCATCTGCGCTGCGAAATCTTTGCTTTGTAGAGCAGGAAAAGTGATCATTGGAAACATTTTTGAGTGATCCGTTGGCCTTAGTGATTTCCTAAAGTAAAAGTAGGCCTGCCAGACAAAGTGATTTCTCAGGATTTTTAGAGTCTACAGATCTCAAATGAGTTTCATTTTTTGTGTGTGTGTGAATGGTTATACATGAAGAGTACAGACATCCACCCTTGTTGGCGTACAGTTAGTGACTTTAGCCCATCTGGAGATGGATAGTTTGTGTCATTCTCCAACCCGTCATCAGTGGTCAGTTTCCAACCATAGATTCACTCTCAACCTAGCAAGAAACACCACTGAGTTGTTTTGCTGAGTTCTGATCAAGAGGAGTGTGAGGTGTTTACTGCCTTCAGCTAATAAACTTTTCACTGGTTTGTTTTTGTGCTCTTTGTAGCTCTTAATGACACTCATGTGAGCGCTTTTTTGCAGGCTGGGCCTGCTATCTTATGAGCTCTCATTAAACTGGCCTAGTTGGGTGGATGCATACTGGTACTCAAGCATAGGGAATGAAGCTTGTGTGCCTATACTAATGAGGACATGAAAGTGGAGGCCTGGCATACTCTAGAGCATTAATCAAAATGAACCTGAATATAGTCTGAGAACATCATGTCCAACCTGACAGCATACTGGGACTCTGAACCCGACTGTAGCCTGATGAAATTCTGTCCCAACCCAATGGTAGCCAAACAAAATTCTGTCTGAACCTGACTACAGCCTGATAAAATTCTATCTGAACTCAATTGTAGCCCAATAAAGTTGTGTCCCAACTCAATGGCAACCTAGCCATTTGGACAAAATTCTGTCCAAACCTGACTGAAGCCTAATAAAATTTTGTAAAAACCTGACAAAAATCAATACAAACCCAACTGTAGCCCTACAAAATTCTGTCCTAACCTTACTGTAGCCTGGCAAAGTTCTGTCCCAACCCAACTGTAACTTGACAAAGTTTTGTCTGAACCCACATGTAATCTGACAGAATCCTATTCGACCCTGACCGTAGCCGGACATTTTTTTTTGTGAACCCAGCTGTAGCTTCACAGTTTTATCCAATCCCAACAGTAGTCAGAAAAAGTTCTGTCTGAACATGACAAAGTTCTAACCACACAGAAGCTAAACAAAGTTCTGTCTGAACTTGAGTGCAGCCAGATA